CACCCGCAGTCTGCGCCCACCCTGGAGCCAGCGTGTGCCTGCGGCCCTGCTCCCAGTCGTGAGCGTGGCATCGCAGGGCGGAGGGTGACGTGAGTGACTAACAGCCTCACCTATTCTTGGGTCTGCCTCAGCAGCAGCTCAGAATTTCACAGTGTGATTTTAGGGTGTGTGAACTGCTTCTGCTAAATCTGGAGAGTTCACAAGCACCTTTCTGAGGTTTATGACCCCTAAACAGGGACCCCTCAGGAGGCAGAGGCCCTGCCAGCGCCTCCAAGTTAGTCTCAGAAAGTGCAGGCCGTGTGCAGCCCAGCCCCAGTGTCCCACCTGGGGCTGGCTTCTGAGGCAGTGCCGGTGCCCTAGCCAGAGGCTGCGGGGGCGCACGGCACACCTCCCTGCCTCCCTGGTGGTGTCTGGAGGATGCATGCCTCTGTCCCTGTACACACTCGCGGCCCCTAGGACCACGGCCAGCTGCAGCAGCTCAGCTCCAAAAGAGGAGTCCAGGGCGCAGTGCTCACTGACTTCCGGTCAGAGGCTCAAGGCCGCAGGACTGAACTCCCTCTGGCCCTCTGGCCCTTTCTCTCTTGGTGCCGTGGTGGAGGTAGCTGATCCAACTATCACAATATTTTCCAGGCAAAAGGAGAAAGTAGTGATGGTCAAAAGAGCACTGGTAAGGCAGTCCTCTGAGAGCCTTCCGGGAAGTTAAAGGGTGCACATCGCCCCAGCGGAGGGACCCTGCAGATGCTCTTTGTGGCTGAGGACACAGCTTGGTCTCCACCCATCCAACCCAGAAGGCCTGCAAGGAGAAGCGAGAGGAATATGGAGAGGGAGGCCCCGTAGAGCTCTGCCCCAGGGCCTAGGACCCACCCCCAGCCTCGGTTCACCATCTGTGCCCACAGCCTCTGCCCAGTGTGGTCTTGCCACACCTCCCTGTAGGGCCTGGCTTCATGGCACCGTGCGGGAGCCCAGAGCAGGCGTGGGGTGACAGGGTGGGACATGGTTGCTGCTCTTCAGGGCCCAGGCCAAGAGACAGAGCCAAGGCCGTGCAGGGCAGAGCATGAGGGGCCTCTGATGTCCGTTGTGACCACCCTGAGCCACAGGTCCTTCCCTGGCCAGCCCCAGCATGCCAGTGGGGACTGCACAGCACGAGCGTTCCGAGCCCTGTCTGCCCGGGAGCACAGGCCAACCTGATCCCAGCTCTGGAGAGCATGTGGGCTACGTGCTAATAGGAGCTGTGCCGTGAGGCTGACCAGGCATGGTGGCACTTGCCTGTCGCCCCACACTCTGCAGGCTGAGGCAGCAGGCATGCACGTTCAAGGCCAGCTGGGACAAGGCAGTGACTTATGGAGACCCTGTCTCAAAATTTTTAAAAAAAATTAAAGAAGGGCTGGGGATTTACCTCCCTGTAGAGGCCACGGGTTCAGTTCAAGAAAACAAAACACTCAGATGGCCCTGCCTAGCGCTGCACTGATCCCGAGTCCCACAGCTTGGTCCCAGCCTCCTCTCCCTGTGAAGCCAGGAGGGACGAGGGTCTTCCTAAGACTGAGGAAGGGTGGCCTGGAGGAGCCCTGGGGCGCAGCCTTGGGGAGGGGAGGACCTTGGGAAGCTGGCAGAGAGGGTCCCACCAGCCCCAGGCTCTCAGGCCAAGATGCAACCCTACAGCTCAGCCCGCGCCTCCCAAATCAGGCAGGGCTGCGGCTGGTGCCCAGGCTGGATGGCAGCCCCACACAGGTGCCCATCACCAGAAAAACACTAGTGTCCAGTCCTGCTGGGCCACCTCACGTGCCCTCTGAGTGGGAGCACATAGGAGGATTTTCAAATTTTGCAATTTTGAATGTTCATGTATTTTTAAGTGTGTATTGATTCCTTTGACTTCAAAACAAAAAAAATTTTTTTTTTTGAGAGATTCTCATCATGCAATTTAAGCTGACCTTAAATTCACTGTGTAGCACAGATGATCCTCCTGCCTCAACCTCCTGAGTGCTGGGATTGATTACAGGCGTGTGCCACCATGCCTGGCTCAAAAGCATATTGTTAAAAGATTGCCTCCCCACCCTCCTTCTGTAAACTGAGGTGGGGTGCCCCCCACATGCCAGGCATATTCACCCCAAACAGTGGGCCCCGTACTACCACCAAGGGGGTCCTTCTGCTCCACCCCCCAGGATCCTCAGAGGGTGGCATGGATGGGGGCAGTCCCCGAGCTCTGGCTCCCCTGTGTCCCTTCCGGCAGCCCCGAGAGAGTCCTGGTGACAGTGGGTGACCCTGGGCAGCGGGCTCAGCCTGGCCCCCCACAGCCCCACACCCAGCCTCTGGGCACCTGGCTAGCGGTGCACCTCCAGGTAACGCCCGCTGCTTCCAGGTTGGTCGCCCAGATTCACGATGAGCTGCTTTTTGAAGTGGAGGACTCACAGGTCCCAGAGTTTGCAGGTGAGCCTGGCAGGGGCCTTTCTGTCCTAGACTGACGCCCCTGTATCTCCTCCCCATCCCCCTGCAACAGACAGGAGCACCCCCTCAGTCTGGGGTCCCTGGAAGGCCCGGGGGCACCCAGGGCTTACAGCACCCTGAGCTCACCGGAGTCCAGGGCTGCACCACGTCGGGACCGTGGGAGGGAGGTCGGGAGAGAGGCAGACCAGCCCCCAGACCGGCAGGTGCCCTGGGGTAGACCTCACGGGCATGACAGGCTCAGCAGACTCAGCAGACTCCGCCTGGTAGCCACAGGGATCTCCATGCCCGTGCCCAGCTGCTCTGGCTGGGGCAGACCATGGACACCTGTTCCCAGCAGGAGCCGACGGCCTGGTCTGGCGTCAGCTGGCCCCAGCCGTGGAGACCTGCGGCTTTGGGCAGCTGTGGGGTGGGAGGGCGCAGCCCGGGCTGTGACGGGCAGGGAGCTGCGTGGGGGCGAGGCCCAGAGCAGAGGCTCTGGCTGAGCACCTGGGGAACAGCAGGTTGCAAGCAGCAGCTTCTTGTTGCAGTGCTCGTCAGGCGGGCCATGGAGTCCTTGCAGCACCTTTGGAACCCAGAGCTGCAGCTGCAGGTGAGGGACGCGCTCAGTGGCTCTGAGGCCCTCGCAGTCCCCAGGAGAGCACAGACTCGGCTCTCCTGGAGCAGGAGGCTTTGGGAGGCAGGCACTGGGGGGACAAGGGCCACAGCTAGAGCAGCCCCTCCTGTCTAGGGGAGCGGCAGAGTTTCATCTACAGCTGTGGGCAGGACCTGCTCAGCAGGCCTGTCAAGCCGGCAACCCCAGGAATGGTTGAGTGCAAATGTCCAAGACATCTCGGACCCAAGGGCACCTTGCCTGGTGGCCCTGCAGCCTGCTCGTGGCACGAGGCCAGCTGTGGGGGGCTGGCAGAGGGGTGGTGTGAGTCTGTCTTCGGGCAGATGTGTGCACACACGCGCGTCTGCAGCAGCCTGCCTGGCTGTGTCCACCCGTGTCTGTAGTCAGTGTTCCACTGTGCCCCAGGCCCACGCCCCGCATGTGAGCCTGCGAGGAGGCTGGGCACAGCGGGCCGGCCTTGGGGCTCACACTTGGCTGCCGTCCGCAGGTGCCGCTGAAGGTGAGCCTGAGTGCCGGCCGCTCATGGGGATGCCTGGCCCCGCTGCAGTAGGCCCCGGACCTGGGCTCCGCTCAGTCACGCGCGGCGGAGTCTCCCGGCAACGGCTGCCCTCCACCAGGGCTCCTCGGCGCCTACCCCGTGTGTGCGTTTTTCCCCTTCATTTTGTCCGCAGCCCCAGGCAACGGTGGAAGGAGAGAACTGGTTTCCACCAGCCCACTGTGTGGCCTTGCAAGGTCGCCAGCGGGCAGTGTGGCAGCGCCAGGAGCGGGCAGGGGGCTGGGTCGGCCCCTGAATAAACGCCTCATGCAAAGCCATCCTCCAGATCTGGGTGAATCCTTGGGGGGCCACGTCCACAGCCCCCCACTGGGGGTCGAAGCCGAGCACCCTGGCTGGTGGTCCAGCACTCATGGGCATCCAGCCAGGTGGGTCTGTGTGCCACACACAGCACTACACGGGAAGGGGGCTGCCGTCTGGGGCAGCAGGCAGCTGCCTGGTCCCACTCCAAGCCCCAGCCCCGGCTTTGACTCCAGCTGAGCTGTCTTGCTGAGCTCGGTGTTTGTTACCTGAGCCCCAGTGAGGTGTGGACTCCCTCCTGTTGGCCGGGCAGCCCCTGACCCTGGTGCAGGGAGTGGCCAGGAAGGAATGTGCAGGGTTGGATTCCCCTGTCTCTGCCAGGAGAGGGGCAGGAAAAAGGGAGGCAGAGGGCAAACCCCATGGTGGGGTCCTGTGGGCTCCCCAACTCCCAGGATCCCTCTGCCACCAGGCTGGCACCTAACGCTGGGGTCTGTAGGAGAGGGGTTTGTGCCCAGCCCATGCCCACACCCGCCTCATCCCAGGTCATCCCTCCTTGCTCACAGTGGGGCTCCATCCCCACCCCCACCTGCTTGGATCGAGACCTCACACGGCCTTGAGTGCTGGGCAGGCAGGAGCCCCAGGCTGGGGTGAGCCACCCACTAAGGGGTGCCAATGCTACTGGAACTAAGAACCTAGACCCAGAGGCCTTGCCTGGCAGGGGCTGCAGGCCTGGGGGAGGGCCAAAGCCCCAACAGCACCCACACCCAGGCCCCCCAGGTGTGTTGGGCCAAAGCCCCAACAGCACCCACACCCAGCCCCCAAGCCCAGGACCTCAACCCCAGAGCCAGGCAGAGCAGAGTGGCCCAGACCTGGGGGGAGCCAGAGCCCTTGGGCAGCTGCTCAGGAGCACCCTGGGCCCACGCCAAGCTCCCCACCAGCCGCAGTTCCCACGGGGCTACTACACTCAGGCGTACGATGGCCTGGGGCCACCACTGCCGGCGGGGGGCGGGCAGCACTCCTCCCAGATGCACCTGAAGGCCCACAAGGCCATTGGGCTGCCACCCATTCCAGGGTCAGCTCGGCGGAGCTGCCCAGGAGGAGGACAGGGGCCTGGGTGGGGGACAAGGAGGTGTCTCAATAAAGTACAGAGCTCAGTTCCTTCAACTCTGATTTTATTGAAAAACAGCAGCATTGGGGGCCACGCAGGCCGGCACACACCCACTGGGCCCAGCCTGTCTCCTCGGGACTCAGCCTGACACCGGCCCTCAGGGCTGCTTTGGCACATCCCGGGCCGCAGGACACCCGCCCTGCCCTGGGCTCACAGCACAGCTCAGGGACACGCGACCGCAGGGAGACCCCCAGCACCACGCACCCTCCACCAAAGCCGGCCAGCGTCCGTCCATGGGGCTCCTGTCCATGGGGCTCCTGTCCCCACCTTGCCACGGCCCAGAGGGAGGTGGACGAGGCTCACCACCCAACAGGAGGGGCTGGGGAACGCTCACGTGGAGCCGCCCCGCCCGGGGAGCCCAGGAGCCTGCTTCCCACCACAGAGCGCCTCCTGAGCAGGAAGCGCTCCCTCGCCCGCCCCTCACAGCCTGTGCACACACACTCGTGGACAAACCCATGTTCACAGCCACACACACAGACATGCTCACCCACAGGCTCACGCGTGTAGTGCTTGTACACACACATACTTACACATGTATATATGTGCACACTCATACACACATGCACACACATGCAGCTGTCTACACACATGCGTACACATGTGTAGACGCTCATATATACACACACACATATCCACAGATGCTCAGACACAGGTGCACTACACAGGCACACACACACACACACACACACACACGCACGCACACACATGCATGTTGGTACACCCCTTCCTTAAAATGGCTAATTATTGCTGTTTAAAAAAATACATCCAACGGTGCTAAGTCAGGGCTCAGCCTCCCCCCGCGCCCGGGCAGCTCTGGCAGGCTGTGCTGCCGTGCTCCATGGATGTCGTGCCATGCGGCAGTTTATTCCAGGGCCAGCCCCACACCCCACCCTGGACTCAACCCCAGCAGCCGGGAGGAGCCCCAAACCAGGCCTGGCACATCCTTCGGAGTGTGCAGACAGCAAATGGCCCGGCCACACTCACCAAGATGGGCAAGCAGCAGCCCCTGGGCTCTGGGGTTCACGCTTTCTGGCTGCCCCTTGGGCACAGACAGGAAGGTGGCCCTGGGGTGCCCACACATCCCCCAGCCCTGGAAGCCACCAATTACCCAAGAAGCCCACACAACAGCAAAGTCCAGAAACAGATCTGGCCACGTGCACAGCCCCGGAAGCCAGCTCCAGGGAGGGCGTGGGCTCGGCCACCCCACACGGGCAGGGGAAGGCAGTACAGGTGGCATAGGTGGTGAGGTTCTCAAAGCCAGGCCCATGGCTCAGAGCGTCTCAGGTCCTGTCAGTGGCCTGGAAGCTCCTCCCCTCTAGGGCTTGGGGATGCCTGTCATCTGAGAATGGGCTGCCACGGCCCTGTGCTCTCCAGGCTGCTGTCTGCTACTTTGGGGCCAGCTGTCCACTCCCTCAGCCTCACCATCTGCAGACATCTCAGCCTCTGGGCATGGAAGTAGGTGCAGGATTGGAGAGAGGCTGCCATGGCCACAAGGGCTCAACCTTCCTGCACTGAGGGGCCAACCACACAGGGCCTCAGCACAGGTATGCCAACTTCCTGGCCACCCGCCACAGGGGCTGGCCATCTGCAAAGATGCAGGCCCAGCGGGGCGCTGCCAGGGGACACCCAGCAGCTGCTCCCCAGCCTGCAGCACAAGCTCAGCAAGGTGACCTGGAAACCGCCCCAGTGTGCACCCTCCCTGCTCCACAACAGGAGGCCTGCAAACAAACAACAGCAATCCTGGGGCCCCAGACTGACCTCCCTGGACCTTGCCAGGCCACCAAGGGGGCAGAGACCCGGGGAGGCAGCAGTGGGCTGGCAAACTCAGAGGAACCGCACTGGACACTGGGCAGTGAGCCCAGAGGGCCTCCACAGAGGTAGAAGACACAGCAGTTTCCACAAATGTATAAAATTCACGTCAGTGCACAACTGCGGAGCAATTATCGCTCAAGCTGAGGGCTGTGGAGGGCTGGGATGAGCAGGGGCACCAGCAGACCCAGCCTGCAACTCCAGGAGCAGGAGGTCTGCCCACCAGCCTATGAGGGCTGAAGCACACCCTGCCAGCCTGCTCCTGGCATCTTGGCTCAATCCCAGCAGCAACGGAAGGGTGGCAAAGGACAGTCGAGGGCCAGCAAGCATCCCTCCATGGACCCATGGGGCCATGTAGCTGGGAGAGTCCCTGGGCAGAGAGGTGGCAGTGGCCAGAGGGCCACCTCTGAGCCCCACCCAGTCCCTCTGAGCCCCAGCAGTGCGGTCTGCCATGAGCCAGCCCTAGGTCAACTTAAGGGCACCTGGGCTCTGCCTCCACTCCATACCCCCAAGCCCAGCAACTGCAGGCTCCGAAGGCACAGGGAGAGAAGCCTCGCTGGCCAGAGCTGCCCACCAACCAGACACTGCCACCAGCCCAAGCCAACACCAAACCAAACAGAAAAAGAAGGCACGACTGTTTGTTTTCCATTTTGCTAAAACACTTTACGTCTGTCTGTATAATCCAGATTAACAAAATCTGAGAGCTGCAAGAAAATAGGGTGCCAATTTCTGTACAGTCTACAAAACTCCCACCCCCGAGGGGACCGGGCACCACCAGGGAGGAATGTACAGGGGACAGCGGGGTCTGTACAGTGCTCTGCAAGTGCCTCAACTGCTAACAGGACAGAAAGGCCCCTGGAGCGCTGGGCTGGGCTGCCAATCCGTTTGCTCCTCAAGAGCCTTGCTAAGGGACCAGTTCTGTGGCCACCCTGCCTGCCACTCCCCCAACCCCTCAAGCCCCACACTAAGGGCTCTGGGTGGCCCACTCATATAGGGCCAGGCACAGGCTCCACTGGCCAATGGTCACTGCAGTCCTGCTCTCCTCTCCCTGCCCAGCCACCGTCAGTCAAGCTGGCCACAAGGGACAGCAGGTCCTGCTCCCCTACCTTGGCAGTGCCCAGCTCCCCTCAGGGCTGTGGGACTCACCCTGTCCCCTCAGTCCTGCAGACCAGGGCTGGAAGGGGCAGCCCGGAGCTTCCTTACCATCCAGGAATGTTCTCTGGAGGGTGGGGATTACACTAGGTCAGGGTCTCCCTCCAGATCTCACTGTGAAGCCCTCCACCCACCGGCCACCCACCCCCACCAACGGGGCCAGAAACAGTGCTTACACTAGCACCACACGCATGTGTGTGTCTGAAGGTACGAACTACCATTCTGTCCCAAGAATTAAAGTCATGCAGAGTGCTATTCTGTCTAAGTAACTTATTAGAAAACGGGTCGTTTCAGGCTGGGAGAAGCTGTGTCTGGGCATCGCCGGCAGCAGCCTGGGCTAGTGAGAGTCACAGGGTGGACCCCGGTGGACAGCGGGACAGGGGCCACAGGCAGCTGGGAGAGGACACCTGATCTAGCAGCAGCTGCGGAACAGGTGTCGGGGGCCCCCCGCCACGATATATAAGGTAGGTCGCTACAGGAACCACACCTGGGTGCCGCACCAAGTCAGCCAAGCCCAGGCACAGGACGCAGGCACCAGAGGACAGAGGCGATGTGGTATCAAAGCAAAGCGGGAGTGGGTGGAGCAGGTGGGCGGGCCCAGGCCAGGCCCCTGAAGGGCACACAGGCCGGGCAGTGCCCACAAGCCTGGGTCCCGTCCACAGGGCAGCAGGGTGGGGACTGTGGCATGCGGCATGCGGCAGCCAGGCCATGTCCTCAACATGCACAGAGCAGCACGGAGCCTGTGGCCAGCTCGGTCTCCCTCGGGACAGCAGCCGGCCGGCCTGGGCCACACTTCAGGGACGACGGCCGAGCCACTGCCTGGCCGGGGGGCCGGGGCCTGCTCCCCGGAGGATTTGGGCAGAGCTTCTGTGCTTAATGGGCGAGGTGAGGCCTTCCAGACAGAGGCAGGTAGTGGCTGGGTGGGCAGTCTGGGGGTCCACAGCTCCGCTTCCCAAGGCTGGGAGGACGGGGGGTGGGCGCCGTAGCTGCGGACCCCACCCCACCACGTCGCAGGTGAGCAACAGCCCCACCCCCCCAGGAACAGCCAGATAACCGCACGATGTTGAAGGAGAAAACCCGACACAAACGCCAAGGTGAGCGTCTGGAAGCAGGGCCGCGCCGGGCGGCGGGCAGGCGGACGGGTGGGCGCAAGTGGAAGGGGGCAGATGGGGCGGCAGGCGGGCAGCGACCCTCACTCCTCACGCAGCTGCAGGCGGTAGCGGTGGTAGCGGACCTGGAAGAAGAGGCGCTCGGCCAGCGAGAGGGTCATGCCAGGCAGCACGTAGTGGTCGCTCGCGCCCATGTGTCTGAAGCCCAGGGACTCGTAGAGCTTGTGGGCGGCCACCTTGACGGCCGTGGTGCCCAGTACAACCGCAGAGTAGTTGTGCACTACCGCAAACTCCAGCACCTTCCGGCCCAGCGCCTTGGCGATGCCCTTGCCGCGGAAGCGGGAGTCCACAGACATGCGCAGCAGCTCCACCGTGTTGTCCTCCTCGTGGGCACGCGCGCCCACGATGCCCACCACGTTGCCGTCCAGCACAGCCACCCAGAAGCAGGAGCCTGCGGAGACAGGACAGTCAGGGCTGCAAGGAAGGCAGGCCGGGGGGCCTCCCCTGGAGTAAGGGCGTTGGCCTCAGCCAGGCAGCCCCTGCCCAGGACCGAACGTAAGAAGGGCCACACACAGTGACACAGCAGGCCCCACGCACGGCCAACCTGCCCTGGCTCCCAGCCAGGCCTGCCGCCCTCCTCCCTGCCTGTCCTGCGAACTGAGGGCGCCCACCTGGAGGGCGCGTCACTATGCCATGGGGCCTCACGGATCCAGCCTCTCCTCGCAGGGCAGCTGTGCCCGCCCACAGGCAGCCCAGGACAGCGGAGACCAGCAGAGGGCCAGGAGGAGACTGGGAGGGGACAGGGCACCAGAAAACCTGGCCATCTCTGATGGCCAAAGGCCGAAGAGATACACAGAGACATCTGCTGTGACCGGCAGGCAGCAGTGGGCAGGGCTGACCAGCCAGGGGCACCCACTCTTCAGACCTGGCCAGCACTTCCTGCCCCCCACAGCCTTCCCTCGCCTCCCTCAAGGGCCTAAGTCCTCCCCAAAGGGTCTGTGCTGAACCCGGAGAGCGCTGCCCTCCAACCACCATTAAGGGGAGGCCATCTCCTCCAGCGCCGGGACCTGAGCCTTGTGCAGCTAAGGGGGTCACCAAGAGCCTCACTTCCAGCAGCAGCAGAGGCAGCTGCAGGGTCCCCCAGGCCTCTGGGTGTCTGCCTGGGCTGGTCTTCTCCCCCTAGCCAGCCCATCCCCACCCGGCCACCCAGAAATCAGGCTGTCCCAGCATGGAGTAGCTTTGAGCATACTTTGCTTCTCCCTCCCCAGGCCTCAGTTTCCCCGTTCGCATGAACAGCTCCCACAAACCCACACAGCCTAACAGCAGCTGTCTAACCAGTGCCTGGAGAGTCCGTGGACCCAAGAAGAACACACAAGGACCCGCAGGACCCATAGGGCCCAAGAGGCCTGGCCCTGCAGGGACCTCAGCCTTGCTGCACCCCACCACTGCCCCTCCGTGGCCGTCCCCTCCCTGCAGAGCCAGGTTTTGGGGAAAGCTCAGGGGTACAGGAGCCCCAAGGGGCCTGGGTGGAGGCACAGAACAGGCAGCACCAGCAGGCAGCTCCAGAGCAGGAGCTGGATCCTGCGGCTCTACCCATCTGTGGCCAGGCGGTCCGGCACCTGACACCCTCACACCCCAAGGGCCAAGGCACCTCTCTAGCTTGAGGGCCTCAGGGCCAATCCTGGGGCAGAGAACAGCCCGGGGTCCCCTCAGGCCAGGGTCCCAGCCTCTCATCCTACAAGGGCACAGAGCTGAGATGTCCCTCAGTTCACAGTGAGATGTCCACTCAGTTTCTGAGTGGCCTGGAGGCCAGGCTGGAAGTAGAGGCTGAGACTAAGACCAGGGCCCTGGCCCCAAGGTTCCGCTCCTGGGGTGTCCTCTCTCCTCTCCCTGTAGGCCCCAAACCCAGTAAGGTAGGACAGCCGGGGCCTCACATGCTAGCAGGCCTGAGCTCAGCTGCCCCGGCCCAGAGCCAGCTCAGGCCACCCAGGGGGAGGACCCACTCTCCCTTCCCCACCTAGGGATGCCCCACTCCTGGCCAAAGCCTGTCACAGAGACTCAGGTCTCAGGACCCCAGCTCGTGCCCACCAGAGCCTGGGCCTGGCAGGGCAGGAGGCCACCCTGCCCAAGAAGGGGCAGAGGGCAGGGAGAGGAGAAGCTGCAGCCCCTGCTCACCAGGCGGCTTCATGTAGTACTGCTCGATGTCGGCCATGTCCGTGTGCAGCGCGCAGTCCAGGTAGGCCAGGATCACCTTCCGGCTGTAGTAGTAGCGCAGGGCCAGCAGCACCACGGGCACCAGGCAAGTCAGCAGCAGCGAACGCGACACGGCAAAGCAGAGCGCTGCGGGCAAGGGGCACAGGTGAGCGGGAAGGGGCGGCACTGCCGGCCTGGATGTGGGGCCGCTAGGCAGACCCCGGCCCCACAACACCCTGAGCCACCTTGGTTCAGGGAGAGCTGCGCTTAGGGGCATGCGCGACTTTTCTCCGAGCAAGAGCACAGTCATGGTCCCTGTCCCTTTCCTACGCGTCCCTATTTTGAAACTTCCTGCCACAAAGACCCGCTACCTTCCCAACCTAAAACAAAGTGGGAACACCGTGGGAGAGGCTGCCCTAAATTGCTACTCCCTGGGCTACCGGTGCCCGCCACCGGGGTGGTCCCCATCCCCTGCCCACCCAACCTGACCTCGTGCACCCCTGTGGAGCAGGACCGAGCCCCGAGAGCGGCTGGCGTGGGGAGGGAGCTCCAGGGCTGGCGGCGAGACCCACACCGCCGCCAGCCACACTCAGACTGCAGAGGCGCTGGGTGAAGGTTGCCTCCCCAGTGACCTTGGGAGGGTGGCCCCCGGCTCCCCGTCTGTGCAATGGGAAGACGGCTTTGCCCCGCGGGGCCTGACGAACAGGCGCCGGCCGCTGTCCCCCGGCCGTCCGCTCGCGCACGGCTTCCCCCGCCCGCGGGTTATATATAGGCTCCACGCCCCGCGCCCCGCCACCTGCCCCGTCACGCCGCCCCCACTGGGGTGCCCAGGCGGGGACCGCGACGGGGAGGACGGGCAGCAGGGAAGCGATGAACACCCGGCCCAGAGCCCTGTCCTCGCCGCGCGTCCCCACGCCCGGGCGGGCGACCCCCGCGGACCCAGCCCGCCCTCGCGCCCGCCGCGCAGGTCCCCCTTCCCGCCCCCAGTCGCCTCCTCCGCAGAGGGGGAAACTGAGGCAAGAACTGCGCCTGCGCCTCCGCCCCCCGCGGCCCCTGCCCGCCCTCCGCCCAGCCGCCTGCGCCCGCCTTCCGATCTGCCAGCCGCAGACACACACGCGCACACGCACACCCCACCCCACCCGTCAGGTCGGCTGAAGACATGACCTTTATTTACAAGGAAGTGCTGGGTGCTCTTGAATAAATCTATGTATCTCCGAAGATTGTCACTGCTTCTGAAACTTAATCATACAGTGTTTTAGTTTGTTTTTTCATTTTTTATTTTTTGGTACTAGGAATCGAACTCAGAGCCTCATCACTGAGCCCTCAGTTTCTACTTTAAGAAACACTAGTGAACGTGGGTGTGGTCGCGCATGTCTATAATTCTTGCTACGGGGAGACTGAGTCAGATCCTATATTTGAGGTGAGCCTGGGCCAGTTATTGAGCACCTTGTCTCAGTAATGAAATCAAATGAGATAAAATAAAATGGCTGTGAAGTGAGCCTAGCAGAAGGCCCTGGTTCAAACCCCAGTACTGCAACAAAACCAAAGACAAAACCACCAATAAACAAGCAAAATAAAAACAAACAAAAGGAAAAAACAAAGCGCAAGGACGCAAACTAACAGATCTATCATTACTTCACTTAATTATATTATCTAGTTATTCATTTACACATGAAAGTTTTATTCCATCTTTTATACTTTTTTTTTTTTT